TTTAGAGAGCACACATGCACCTGTGAGAGAGTATGGGGAGGGACAGAGGGAAAGGGAGAGAGAGAATCTTAGGAAGGCTCCACACTGAGCCTGTTGCAGGGCTGGATCTCATGACCCTGAGGTCATGACCTGAGCCGAAAGCATGAGTCAGACACTTAACCGACTGAGCCACCCAATGCCCATATTTTGTTTTAAAAGATCTCAAATCAATAACCTAACCTTCCATCTTAAGAAAGTAGAAAAAGAGACAACTAAACCCTAAGCAAGCAGAAAATAAATGATAAAGATGAGAACAGAAATAAATGAACTAGAGAATAGAACAATAAAGTCAACAAAACTAAAAGTTGGTTCCTTGAAAAGATTAACAAAATTGACAAATCTCTTTGTAGAATGACCAAGGGAAAAAAAAAAGAAAGATTAAAACTAGTAGAATCAGAAATTAAAGAAAGGACAGGGCGCCTGGGTGGCTCAGTTGGTTGGGCAACTGCCTTCAGCTCAGGTCATGATCCTGGAGTCCTGGGATCGAGTCCCGCATCGGGATCCCTGCTCAGCGGGGAGTCTGCTTCTCCCTCTGACCTTCCCCCCTCTCATGTGCTCTCTCTCTCTCATTCTGTCTCTCAAATAAATAAAATCTTAAAAAAAAAAATTAAAGAAAGGACATACTACTGTCCTTATAGAAATAAAAATTATAAGGGAATACCATGAACAATTGTATGCCAACAAATTAAATAACCTAGATGAAATGGGCAAATTCCTAGAAAAACATCAGGTTGGTCTAATATAAAAATCAATCAAATACATAAATATTAATAGACCAATGTAATAAAACCACATAATCATTATAAGAGATGCAGAAAAAAACCTTTGACAAAATTCAACATCCCCCTTCATGCCAAAAACACTAAAAAATCTAGGAACAGAAAAAGGAACTTCCTCAGCCTGATAAAACCATTTACAAAACCCACAACTTACATCATACTTAATGGTGAAAGACTGAATATTTTCCCTTTAGGATCAGGAACAAGCCAATGTCCATTCTTGCCACTTCTATTCAACTTTGTACTAGATGTTCTAGCCAGGGTTATTATGAAAGAAAAAGAAATAAAATGCATCTATGGATAGAAGTAAAACCATGTCCATTCTCAGATGACATGATCTTATAAGAAGAAAATCGTGAGGAATTCACACAAATACAAAAATACTAGAATAAATGAGTTCAGCAAAGTTTCAGGATGCAAGAACAATATACAAAAGGAACAGTAATCAATAAAGTGTGGTAATGGCATAAAAATAGACATAAGATCAATGGGATAAAATTTAGAGGCCAAAAACCAATCTTCACATTTGTGGCCAGTTGATTTTTGACAAGGGAGCCAAGACAATTAAGGGAAAGAACACTCTTGTCAACACATGGCACTGGAACAACTGAATATCCACATGCAAAAGAATGAAGATGGACAACCTTACACTATATGCAAACATCAATTCCAAGTCAATCATAGATGTACATGTAAGAGATAAAACAATAGCACTTTATTTTTTTTAAGATTTTATTTATTTATTAGAGAGAGAGAGGGCATGAGCAGCAGGGAGCGGGAGAGGGAGAAGGAGGGGCAGACTGCTTGCTGAGCAGGGATCCTAAGGCAGGGCTTGATCCCATGACCCTGAGATCATGACCTGAGCCAAAGGCAGATGACTAAATTATGGTTACTTATTAAAAAAAAAAAATCTGTCAGATAAAGACTAACAACATATGATTTCACTCATATGTGGAATTTATGAAACAAAACAGATGAACATAAGGAAAGGGAAGGAAAAATAAGATGAAAACAGAGAGGAAGGCAAACCATAAGAGACGCTTAACTACAGGGAACAAACTTAAGGTTGCTGGAGGGGAAGTGGGTGGGGGGAAGGGATAATTGGGTGATGGGCATTAGGGAGGGCACTTGATGTAATGAGCACTGGGTGTTATATGCAACTGATGAATCACTAAATTCTACCCCTGAAATTAAAATACCGTATATGTTAACTAAATTGAATTTAAATAAAAAAATAAAAACTCCTAAAAAAAAATCTCCTAGAGGACAAATTTAAGTCAACAATTCATAGATGGAAAAACTATGGAGAAAAGGTTTTGTAGTGAGGAATAAATTTAAATAAATGTCTAAGTCTAAAGAAATGTGAGAATTATGGTTATAAACAGAAGGTATCATTTAATCCACACTATACGATGGAGTTTTACAAGTGACTTTTCCTTCTGAATAGGATGTAGTAGGAGGACAGTGTTCCTGCTTCAACAACTTAAAGAAGTGCATAATAAGTTAAAAATATCATAGTTTAAAATATATCGGAGAGCTGTGAAGTAAGGACTTGTTACTTAATTTTAGGTAAACAAAAATTTCAGAGAGGGGAAAGCCCTTCTAAGGTGAATTGATAATCACTAGCTGGTTTGTTTTTTGTTTTTCCTGGAAACATTTGCTGATTTAAGGTACAGGCTGAGGATCAGTCTTAACCTAGACAGAGGGAATCTAATGGGGGCAAAGAAAACCCGAGGAACTTTCAGCAGGCTACCAGGACCGACTGGAAAGCAGAAGAGCCCCAGTGCATGACTGGTTTTCCATGTGGGGCATTTTCTGAGTTTGAGAACTGCTTGGAAGTCCTGTGGAACTGAGCCAAAACTTTAAAGACTTTTCTTTTAATTAATTAATTTACTTTTGAGAGAGAGAGAGAGAGAGAGCATGCGCGCATAAGTGTGGAGAGGGGTAAAGGGGAAAGGGAGAGAATCCCAAGCAGACCCCATGCTGAGCATGGAGCCTGACACAGGGCGGGGTCCCACGACCCTGAGATCATGACCTGAGCTATAACCAAGAGTTGGATGCTCGCCGACTGAGCCACCCAGCTGTCCCTGAGTCAAAACTTTTAAAAAAATCATGGTGCTTAGGAAACCATACCCAGTTAGAGGGACATGGTCTCCTCAATTACAAGGCTAATCTCTCCCTCAAGACATTTCTCATCTTTTTAAAAAGTTTAATTTTTTTTTTTTGAGAGAGAGCGCGCACAAGTAGGCAGAGCGGCAGGCAGAGGGAGAGGGAGAAGCAGGCTCCCCACTGAGAAGAGAGCCCGATGCGGGGCTCGATCCCAGGACCCTGAGATCATGGCCTGAGCCGAAGGCAGACGCTTAACCGACTGAGCCACCCAGGCGCCCCCAAGAGAACCTTAAGCAGTCTCCACGCCCAGCAGGGAGCTCGATCCCACGACCCCGAGATCATGACCTGAGCTGAAATCAAAGCACCCAGGGGCCCTGACATTTCTCATATTTTGAAGCAGAATTGGTTGGAAGCTAAAGAGCTAAGCTCAAAGCCCTAGAGGAATGAACTGGAAACACTGTAGTCTTTCAGGGCTGAGGAGAGAGAGATTTTCTATCAAAAGCTTGGGCTGCCCCTGAGGGAAGAACTAGAGGTAAGGTGAGTCTAAGAGGGCGGTCTTGCCGAGACTCATCTCAATCCCTGATTAGAGTGCGATGACCTGCCCCTCTATCAACCTAATAGAGGGAAGGGGGGAATCCCCGCTGGTAGATGATAACGTGGTGGCTCTGTAATTCTTTTACACACACTGTCTGGCACCTAAGAAAACATTACCAAACGTGTGAAGTGGCAGGAAAACGTGACGGATAAGCAAGAGAGAATAATGAACCACTGAACCAGACCAACAGATGACCAAAATGTTGAGGTTAGCAAACAAGGACTGAGGGGAAAACAAACAAACAAAAAACCCCCCAAACTATGATAAAACAGAATAAATGATTAACAAAGTGAACAAATGGAGACTTTCAACAAATAACTGGAATCTAAAATTTATTAAAAAATCAAAAAACTGAAAATACAGTATTAAAAAATTAAGAACTCAGTGTATAGATTTGACAGATGACTGAGGATCACAGAAGAATTAGGAAACTCAAAGATGGGACAATAGAAAACGTTCAAACTGAAGCATCAATTAAAAAAAAAACAAGCTGGTACAAAGTATTAAAACACATGATGATTAAGGTCAAAGAATCTTACATATATAGCTGGAATCCCAGAGGAAAGGAGACAGAGAATGAAGCAAAAACTAGTTGAAGAGACAATGGCTGAGGGTTTCCTACCTGGGGCGCAACGCTCCAAAGCACCCCACCCTTGATACTCAATTGTACTCATCTCCCTTCTATTCCAAATCGAATGCCCAAAATTGAATTCATCTTCCACTATAAATCTATTTTCTGTCAAGACATTGTATTCTAATTATCTATTTATGACTCCCCACAAGTAGACTGAGGGTTTGCAAGAGAAAGAGTACTTCGTGTTTACGCTCAAAAAACGTGTGTTGAATGAATAGTGCGCTTCAACATATCAGGCTGAAGCCACTTTCCTCTCTCATGAGAAAGAAATTAACAGTTCTACTGCACAGACCTGCTAAGTAAGCACTTGTCACTGTTTGGTGCTGGGACTACAACGAGAATAAGACCGGGCTCTGTCCTCCAGGAAAACCGGAAAAGAAAAGCCTGGGCCAGGCTTCAAAGCGCATCCAGTGCAGGAGGGTGCCCTTTCGCTTTTGGCAAAAGGGAAAAGGCATTAGCGGAGTGAGCGACCATATAGTAGCTGTGGTCGGCCTTAGCCCTTTTGGGGTTAAAAAGTTGAGAGGCGGCTGAACAGAAGTCTCAAGTCCGCCCTGTCGAGATTCTGCAATTTCTAGATCTCCGTTTCCACCAATCTCCCACGCCAGGACGGAGACGCGGGTAAGAGACCAGTCGAGCGAGCCGGGCGCGCCGGACGGAGACCCCGGGGGGTGGGGAAGCCGGCCGCCGGAAGCGGAGGGAAGGCGGAGCCACGCCCCAGCAGCCGGGCTGCACTCTCTTTTCCGCTCCCCTCACGATGCCCGGGCGGGGCTAAGGCGGAAGGGCACGGAAGGAGGTGACGCTATAAGTGAGCGCCGGCGGTGGCTCCAAAGGAAGCTCGGTGGCTGTGGCGGCTGCGTGCAGGCCAGGCACCTCCTCAGTGACGGGGGTTCCCTAGAAGTGGTGAAGGCGGGGCCGCAGGCTGAGCTGCCGCAGTATCTCGACCCGCGGTGCGGCAGGTGCCGGCAGCGAGGGACGTAGGTAAGCAGGAGCCCGGGTGTCAAATCGGAATGAGTTACGGACCGGGCTAGCTGGCCATTCCCGCGCCAGTGCGCGCCAGCTCAGCAGCCCGGCCTGGAGGCCTCAAGCGCTGCCCTCCCCCCACGCTGGAACCGGAGGCAGCAAATTTCTCCCTGGGCGCTGCTGTGCTTTTCTGGGGGCGTGCAGGGAACTCGTCCCGAGGCACCGCTCTGCTCCCCTTTTTCTCCCCAGTCTGAACTGTAGGACGCAGAAGCAAAGCTAGCGCCCCCGGCCGCTCCGCCTGAGGCCAGGGAAAGATTTGAAAGGAAGAGCTGCTGTTAGAGGTCCTCCCGCTGCTGGCGTTTTGGAAGCCAAGGGTTTATATTTGTTCCGACCGTTCGACTTCCTTCCTGCCTTTGGTTCCTTCGCCCCGCACTCCTGGGACCTTGTTGTAGTGAATGGGTATGGCACAGTTAAACACTAGGGTGGTGGGAAGCTTGCTTTCTATCATGCTTTCTGTTTTTCTGTCTCTACCATGCAATATCAACCCCCGTTGCACTGGGCCACTCTGTTGGGGGAAGAGGGACGCGGAGAGGATATGGGAAATGAGGGATTTAAGAGTCGGAAGAGCTGAGTTAAAAATCTTAGCCTGCCATTTGGTAGTGGTTTTAATCTCGTGCTAGGTACTTCGACATTTTTAACCACACGTAAAGGGGTTGCTTTCTTATGCCTATATAAATTGGGAGAATGAAGTGAAAAAAAAGCAGAACATCAGTCATTTTTAAATGTTTTGGATTTAAGAATATCCTGGACAGTTAATCGTAGGTTCCTAATTATGTATTTTACGCGGAATAACTAAGCTTGGTATGGAGGAGGGTTGTGTGGATAGAACCTAACTGCAGGCTCTGCTTTGGGTTGGGCAGCATTAGGAAGAGGTCAGACTCTCCTAGCCGCCCAGATGGCTCATGTTTATTGATAAAACATTATTCGTATATGAGGAAGAAGCGAAATCAGTTTTGCTTCTTCCTCAAGATGGTTTTGCCCAGTGGACCCTTTCTAGGACGAAAAGCTGGAGGGGCTTCATTTACACCTTGGCCCGCTTTAGAAGGAATTCTTTGCACATATTTCTGAGGACCCCTGCACTGTGCTTCTAACAGAGTTCAATTAACACTTCATGTTAATTGAAAATGTGCAAAGAATAAATACAAGAACTTGACCCTTTGAGTGGCTGGATATTATGGTTATGAGTTAATCTGAGGAGCTGCCCTTCTCTGTATTGGAGAGAGTAAAACATAACACCACCCTGAAGTTTAATAGACCCTAAGTTAGAGTGTTTGGGGAGGAGGGAGTGGATATGCAGTCAAGTGATTTGAGTGAGTAGCACCTGTTCTTACAATTGCTTGGTCAGACAAATTAAGGATGCTTTCCTTTCCTCAGTGGAACATGATGATGATGGCTGCTATGCATAATGTAGCCAAGTGCAATCTCCAATTCCTTTGATACAGAATTGTCAATTGGGAATTTTAACTCGTGGACACAAAAGGGACCTTTGAGGGTCATCTAATCCAGTGGTTCCAAAACCTGGGTGGGCATTGGAATCATTTGGGGAATTAATACAAAACTCTGGATGCCTGGGCACTACCTCAGTAGATCTGATGTGTGACCTGGGTATTTGTGGTTTTTAAATAGCTTCTCAGGTGATACTCATGTTTGAAAACCCAGATGTAGAGCAGGTTTTACATATTAGTTTATGAACAAGCTCCGAGACGAAGTGTAATGCCCTTAACAAATAACTTTACTTGAATCAGTAGTACTCTTTCAGGTTTTGTACACGTTGAGCCCAGAAGATAAGTCCTGTAAATCAGTAGCTCAGTATAATTCTGTTTTTGTAGTTTCCTATGCATTAAAACTTCCTAAAGCTCTTTGATGAAAGTATTAGATTTTACAATAAAGTTTCTTACTGAATATTGCTTAGGTTTGTTTTTTGGCCTAAGTATATAAAGGTTATATCACTTTGTACATCACTTTTTTAGTAGGCTTTTATGCCAAGCTTTCATAAACCATGGAAAAATTCCAACTTAAGACAATTTTGCTTTTGTTTTGGCTTATAAACCCAGTGCACTATATACAGATTGCTTTTTTTTTTTTTTTGAAACCCCTTCCTCCATCCTGGTATGCACAACCACTTTGTATCATTTGTCAGCTTCCAGTGGAATACAGTTTGAGAACTGGGCTCTAAAGGTCTCTAATTTCCTATAAACACCTAATTTACCTAGAGGCTTTCAGTATTTAAGCTTGTCCTTCAATTTTTAGTCCCGTTTTCTTGGTTTAGTTGTAATGTGCCACTGATTTAAAGAATATGGTAGATTCCTGGAAAGGATCAACTGATTAGGTGGTAATAGTGCTTCATATGTACTTTTCTTACACTGGAAAAGTCATATATATATATATATGTAATATTTTCAGAATTACCAAGGTAATAGGCCATCAGGCAGAGTTGAACATTCTCTTTAGGGAGATACACTTATTCTCAAATTATTCTTCAATAACCCCCTCAATGCTTTAGTATTTCTATTCTGTGTTATTAGTAGACAATGGACCCTACTTTACAAATCCTCCAGAGGAGGATGCCCAATTATTTTCTAAAAGTGACCCTATTTATGGTATGTTACCTTTCAACAACTAGATGACTAAGGGCATTCTTAAACTTGCTGATTAAAAAAACCATATTGGGGCACCTGGGTGGCTCAGTCATTAGGCGTCTGCCTTCAGCTTGGGTCATGGTCCCAGGGTCCTGGGATCGAGCCCTGCATCAGGCTCCCTGCTTAGCGGAAGCCTTCTTCTCCCTCCCCCACTCCCCCTGCTAGTGTTCCCTCTCTCACTGTGTCTCTCTCTGTCAAATGAATAAATAAAATCTTTAAAAAAACAAACAAACATGTTAAAGGGTGCCCAGCTGGCTTAGTTGGTAGAGCATGTGACTCGATCTTGGGGTCATGAGTTCGAGCCCCACATTGGGTGCAGAGATTACTTAAATAATTAAAGCAAACAGACAAACCATGTTAACAAATACATAGTCCATGAATTTGAGTCTAGGGAAACATATGATATGTGTCTGAGATGAAAAGCCAAGTCACCGAGTCTCTAAATTTATTTTTGTGTCTGAAATACCCTAATTCTGAGGTTTTAAAAATTGCTGTGTTTCAGATTCTGACAGAGCACACTTTTCAAGTAGAGGTATTTAAAAGGGTAAATATGGATCCAGGGTCCCAATTTTAATCTAAACTGATATTACAGATTTAACATAGAAACAGATGCAGGGTGAGGGTAATAACTTGAAGACCTAGTGAAAGTCATTTGCTGGTTCTTGAGGCAGTCTTCTATGTCTGTGAGGACTTGAGACCAAAACTGGATACTTAATCTACTTTATATCCAGTGGCTGAATGTGATGAAAATATTACCAGTAGGGACTATAAATGTGTAAGTCTCCAGTTCTCAGTCTTGGTCTTTTTTATGGTTCATTCATTTTCCCTGATGCCAATGGGCATTATTTTTTTGTTTTTATTATTTTTAATCTTGTTTCCTGTAGCCCAAGCCCAAGGTGGCATTGGCCTCAGGTGACTGGCAGAGGGTGAAGCCAACCTTGGGTGTGATTGTGATGGAGTTATCCTGAGTTTATTTGTAAGAGGGGCAAAAACTAGAGCTTAAGCTAAACACACACATGAAAAGTGTTAAGATGCCCGCTGGGGGCTGCCTGGGTGGCTCAGTCAGTCAAGCGTGACTGACTCTTGGTTTTGGCTCAGGTCCTGAGCTCAGGGTCCTTTGATCAAGCCCCGCATCAGGCTCCATCCTCAGCGTGGAGTCTGCTTGAAATTCTCTCTTGCTCTCCTTCTGCTCTTTCTGCTCCTGCTGTATCTCTAGAATAAATAAATCTTTAGTGGGAAAAAAAATCTTGTTTCCTATTACAAGCCATTCGTTCTCTCATATTTCTGGGATGGGTAACCCCACACCTATTTATTTGCTGTACAACAGCTATGACTGTCTTATTACTTTTGCTAAAAAGAACTTTTTCATAATGGTGCTTGAGTTAACATGTATAGTGGCTGCACTGCAAACTTTTACCCAAATACTGGGTCCCTTAAGGATTGTTCAGACTTAGGGCTCTCTTGGAGTCTAGTGAGTACCTCATAAAAGTTGAAAGCTCATTTTTTTTTTTTTTTTTTTAGATTTTTATTTATTTGAGAGAGAGAGAGAGAGAAAGCACAAGCCAGGGGAGAGAGGCAGAGGGAGAAGCAGACTCCATGCTGAGCAGGGAGCCCGATGCGGGGCTCCATCCCAGGATCCCGGGATCATAACCTGAGCCAAAGGCAGAATGCTTAACCGACTGGACCACCTACGTACCCCTGGAAGCGCATTTTTGTTTTCCTTGTGTGTGTGTTCGATATTTGAACAAATGTTGGTATTTGGTGAATATAAACACAACAGCAGTGCCGAGAACACTGGGGCAGAAATGTAGAGAGACCCCCTGTGGAGGTTGCTTTTAATTTTAATTACATGGGCTCTGAGTGCATTCTTGGGATTTGTGGATTTTAGGGTGTACTGATGGAGTCTTTTTTTGGAGAACGTTTAGTAGCAGTATCTTTGGCTTTCCTCTTGAGTTAGATTCCTCAAAAAAGAATCTTCAGATCTTCTGCTTGGAGCTTATAAGCTGGCTTCCGGCAGTCTGGGGTAGAGGTCTTAGCCCTTAGAGGGTAAACTCCACTTATGTTCATTTAACTCAACTCTTTTCAGTGTGAGACCCTCATTCTCAACTGGACCAGCTGTTTTCCCGTCCAGGAATCCATTGTTTTACCCTCTTGAGCTGCACTGTCCAATATGGTAGCCAGTAGCCACATGTAGCAACTTAAATTTAATAATTAAGATTAAAGAATAAGTTCCTCCTTTGCATTAGACACATTTCAAGTGGTCAGTAACTGTATGTGTCCAGAGGCTACCATATCAAACAGGGCAGATATAAACTATTT